ATGGAGTCTCACTCTGTCTCCCAGGCTGGAGTGCAGTGGCGTGATCTCAGCTCACTGCAACCTCCACCTCCTAGGTTCAAGCAATTCTTCTGCCTCAGCCTTCCGAGTAACTGGGATTACAGGTGCGTGCCACCACACACAGCTGCCTTTTGTGTATTTTTAATAGAGATGGGGTTTTGCCATGTTGGCCAGGCTGGTCTTCAACTCCTGGCCTCAAGTGATATACTCACATCGGCCTCCCAAAGTGCTGGGATTACAGGTGTGAGCCACTGCGCCTGGCTGGAAGTCAATATCCTAACCTTGGTGTTTTGTTTTATTTATAAAAGTGTTCCAGCAATACAGACGAAGACCTCTCCTGACAGTGCCTAAATAGGTGGTTTTCAAGAGAGAGAGCAATTCAGTCCCCTAAAAACATTTGGCAATGTCTGGAGACATTTTTGGATGGCAAAACTGGGGGAGTGCTAGTGACATCTAGTGGATAAAGGCCAGGGATGCTGCTAAACATCCTACAATGCACAGGATGGGCTCCCACAAGAAAGGACCATCCTGTCCCAAATGACAATAGGGCCAAAGTTGAGAAACCCTGGTCTAAAGGTTAAAGGTGCAGGCAAGCTCCTTTTTTCTTTCTATTTCTTCATATAATGCAGTACTCTCATCGCTGGGGAGATCTGAAACCAATGTTTTGTTTTTTTCCTTAGTATAAAACAACTTGTGAAGAACAAGAACTTAATTTAAAGAACAAGAAGTTTCTGTTTCAGAAATCTAAAATGGAAAATGCACATGAACTGGCATATCTGAAAGAGAATCAGGCCTATACTGTCATAATCTAATTAGAATGCAAATTCCTGTGGGCAGGAGCCACATCTTCCTCCTTCTTTGTTGCCCTGTGGTATCTTATTAAACATATGCACTTCTGAAAAACATCCTATTAGGCCAGGCGCGGTGGCTCATGCCTGTAATTCCAGCACCATGGTGGGTGGATCATGAGGTCAGGAGATTGAGACCATGCTGGCTAACACCGTGAAACCCCATCTCCACTAAAAATACAAAAAATTGGCCAGGCGTGGTGGCACACGCTTGTAGTCCCAGCTACTCGGGAGGCTGAGGCAGGAGAATCCCTTGAACCT